ATAATACTAGTGAAAGTATCGATCGTTGTCTTGCTGTATTTGAAGAAAATGTTCATTTTTTGTTTGACCGTTACTGTTGTCAGAGCAAAACTGTCAGGACCTGTAATTGTTCTTGTCATGAGTCTTCTTTTCGTAAATCAAAAGAGCCTGACAAGCCTTGGTTTGATACGGAATGTCAACGATTATACAATAATTATAAAACTGCACTTTATCACTTTAATAGTTGTAAGTCTGAACAATATAGGGTTAATTTAACCAGATCCAAGAAAAGGTATAAAAGTTATGAGGTCAAAATGAAACATTTTCGAAACGTAAGTTAGGTGGTACCGGTAACTTGTCTCTTGACAATTTTTTTAGATATTTTAGTGATTTATCTGATCATCCAATGGACACAATTCTACATGATGATGTAATTATTGATAACAATGAGTGTGTTTATGCCGAGCTCGATGATGAATTAAGTATACATGAGTTACTTGAAGCAATCAAATGCCTCCCAAAGGGGAAATCGGCTGGCATGGACATGTTGCTTAACGAGTATTTTGTTGAATATGAAGAATTATTTGCACCTGTATTACTAAAGTTGTTTAACACTATTTTTCAAGTAGGTTATTTCCCTAAAGTTTGGGCACAAGGTGTTATTGTACCTCTACACAAAAAGGGTGACAAGAACAATGTTAATAATTATAGAGGTATTACTCTTATTAGCCATGTAGCAAAACTTTTTACTTCTCTTTTAAATAAGCGATTGTTAACATGGAGTGAAAATGAAAATGTCGTTTCAGACGCCCAGTTTGGATTTCGGCCGGGCTTTGGTACGAGAGACGCAATATTTGTTTTAAATACTTTGATTACTAAGACTTTACAAAATAACAAAGGGTTGTATGGTGTCTTCGTTGATTACCGGAAGGCATTTGATAGTATATCTCATAAAAAGTTGTGGTTTACGTTATGGAGAGCTGGAGTAAGAGGTCGATTATTGGATATTGTTAGATCTATATATGATAATGTTAAAGTGTACCCTGAGAGGTCAGCTATGTTGACCTTGAAAAATAGTTCTGCACATAAAACACACTATGCCGAAAACGCGAATGCCGTGGAATGTTCCGTTACTGAGAAATTGCGACTTTTCTGAAAAACACACCTTTGGCTGAGAGGCGTTGACCTCGTTTTCGGGCACCCAAACCTGTGACGTCATAAGTTCAACGCTTTTGTTGATGCAGCCATATTGTCTTTACTGTGCTACATGTGATTGTGATCTATTTTGGGATATTCCGTGGTAATTTCTTTGTTTATTTACGTGAAAGTACTTCACATCTTCGCAATATCTAAGGTAGTGAACGAGGGGTCGGTGAATTAGCGCTTAAATCCGCTAATGTGGCTTCCTATCGAGGAGGGAAGCGGTGTGTATGGTTGTCCTAACACTAACACGGATGGGGTGTCGATGCATGGCGTCGATAAATAAAACTGATTGTTGATTAAATAAAAGTATATTTGTTAGGTTGATATTTTGTTATTAATTCTACAACTAAACATTTTAAATTGATAGGCTAGCCTATGACTTGGGCGGTCATAGGAATATTATTCCTTCGTAATCGTGAACGCCTAATACTCGGAGAAGGCCTAGTCGTGAATGGGTCACGGGAATTTTCACCTCGAGAATTTTCATACTACTATTATATAGTATAGAATAGAATTATTAGAATTTATAGAATAGGTTATGTGTGTATGTTGTTTGTATAAGGTGTATTTGGTTTTTAGATCTTCCAGCAGACGATGTTGTTTAGTTATTAATTTTGCGATCGTAAAAATAACAATAAGATCACCAATCTTGATTTGAAAACACAATTCACAGTGTAGAGATGTCATCTAAACTCATAATCACACCTGTGCCAGGTTAGGTAATTAGCACCTCTGTGGCTGGAAAAAACAATTGTGACACCTGTGAGGCGACACGCCTGTCGCCTAACAACAGACGCGTACCAGTGCTAGGGTAAAAACCAGTCAAATACTTGTTTAAACTTCTAAAACATCAAATTTTTATTATTAACACAGCGGAGGGTGTTATAATTGTTTGTTGACACCCTATCTATATATATCCATAGTGCTACGAAAATTCCCCGGAAAGAAAAATTCCCCTCGGACGAAACTTCTTCGGTAAGAAAATTCCCGACACCTCGTGAATGTATGCATAGTCTTGCACAAACGCGATTTCCCGACGTCAGAAATCGTTGATCGAGACTTGAAGATAGTAAAATTAGTCCAAAACCACACCCAATTTTATTTTGTTTCTTTGAAACGACGATTCACTGTTCGACTGCTTTCACGACTACTGGTGAGACCCAGTGAAGTACGTGCCAATCTATGTTGCCCAAGCGATCGTCACTTTTCGAAGGGTCATTTTCCTCCTCACTGGATACATCGTCTTGTAATTCCAGTTCAAATCGGTAGGACTGGATTCTGTCTTCAGACATATCATTCACGCCATAATCAGACTCCTCAAAACTCATGCTCAAATCGCTCTCAGTTGCGGTGTCGTTGTCACTGTCAGTCATGTTGACTGCCATTTCTGTTGAACTTATGACGTCACGAGTAGAAGAGCCTCGATTCCGCGGAAATGACGATTCGGCTGATTAGGTCTGGGCGGACAGGTGAAAATCGACAACTTTGAGCTTTAATAACTCGACACTGGGGCAACGGATTTTGACGGGGTTTTCATTATCATTATTTTTACGGCATTCTTAACATTATATCTAAATATAAAATTACTCTCAGGGTACACTTTAAGTCTTGTGTCAGGTTGAATGGTAAACTATCTGTTATGTACGACCTCCATGTCGGCTTGTTACAAGGGGAATCTTTGTCCCCGATTTTATTTTCTTTGTTCATTAATGACATAGAGTCTGAATTAATCAATTCCAATTGTCAAAGCTACGAGTTGCAGCTGATTAACCTGTTCATACTGATGTATGCTGACGATACTGTCCTGTTTTCGGAAGATATAGACAACCTTCAAAAGATGTTAGATTTTCTACATTCTTATTCTGCAAGGTGGAATTTAGATGTTAATTTGGACAAAACGAAAAATCAGGAAAAGTAAAAATATTTACCCTAATGAACGTTGGAATTACAATGGTTCGCCCATTGAGTTGGTTGATCAATTTTGTTACCTTGGTTTATTTTTTAACTTCAATGGTAAATTTAGTATTGGTTTGGATAACTTTGCTGCGCAAGGTAGAAAAGCTTATTTCCTGTTAAACAGAAGAATGAAAAGATTCATGTTAAATTGTGACACGAAGTTGTCATTTTTTGATACCTATATTTCCTGTTTACTTAATTATGCATGTGAAATTTGGGGTTTTAGTCCGGCACCCCAGTTAGAGAAAATACATCTATTGTTCTTAAAAAATGTGTTGGGTGTTAAAAAGAACGTGAATTCTTCTATGGTCTACCATGAGCTGGGTCGTTTCCCTTTGTTAATAAATCGTAAAATAGCTGTTATGAAATATTGGCTTAAATTACTGCATACCGATAATTGTGTTTTAAAGTCATGTTATAATGAACTTGTAGAGCTAAATCTAAGAAAACCTGGATTTAAGATGAATTTTATGTACCATGTAAAGCAAGAGCTTAGTAGTTTAGGGTTTCATGATGTTTGGTTGACTCAGTGTATTTCAAATGAAAAGCATTTTTTGATGCTATATACTCAACGGTTACATGATGTTTTCATTCAAGAGACAAGAAACAGTTTTGAAAATTCATCCAAGTGTATACTATATAAACATATTGTTGACCGGTTTGAACTGCAGTTTTATCTTCGTAAGTCTTTGACTTTTAAATCTAAAAATATCCTCTCTAAGTTTAGGATTCAGGCACACAGTCTAAACGTTGAGACCGGTAGATACCATGGTATACCCAGAGCTCTAAGGTATTGTATATTATGTGACAAAAGAGAAATGGAGGACGAGATTCATTTTATTTTATTATGTCCAACATACTCAGATTTAAGAGCATTATATATTAAACCGTATTATTATCGACGTCCATCTGTACATAAATTAACTGAATTATTGGCAGTTAAAAATGCTAAAACGCTGAGAAACCTCAGTAAATACTTAAGTTGTGCTTTGACAAGAAGAACTTTACTTCTTAATGCTAGAACAAGTTAGTAAATTTGTGTGTTTATAAATGAATGTAGAGGTTTATGTTTTAACTGTGTCTGTTGTGTTCTACGCCATCTTAAATACCTGTTTATGATATTGGTTTTAATTTTTTCGACTGATTTGAATTTGAACTGATTTGAATTAAAGTTGCTGCTGCTGATGATGTTGATGATGAAATGACGTCGATGATGATGATAATTGATGTTGTTGTTGATGATGATGATGATGATGATGATGATGATGATGATGATGATGATGATGATGATGATTAATTGACATCGATGATGATGATGATGATGATGATGATGATGATGATGATTAATTGACATCGATGATGATGATGATGATGATGATGATGATGATGATGATGATGATGATGATGATGTAAGGCATGACTATTTTTGTAATTTAACTACAAATTACATAATTATATTATAAATCCGTAAAATTGTCTGTATCCAATCAGTTGATTACAATTTTTTGTATCTCATAAGTTAGAAAACTTGTGAGATAAAATCGAAATTAATTGGGAAACAATTGCTACTGTCAGAATACCTGATGAAATTATTTACGTTTTAATTGTGCGTAGTGTTCTCCACCGTCATGTTGCATAAACTGTATTGATATTGTTGTGTACCCTGATTTGTAAATCCTATATGCTGTACTGCATTTGGAAATAAACTGAATTGAATTGTGAAAGACATGCACGGGTGATCGTATTTTAGCGAAGAAATTGGGAACATTCTTGACACTTGACAACAGGGACTACACGACCAGCCCAAGCCTCCATCGTATTATGACATCATCTCCTCGTACATAGTTGTGCGGCCAACAGGAAACAATTCATACATGCTAGTTTGTGAACGTGCCTGTTTCGGCTCGGACGTTTAGGCCCCTCCGTACCCCTAGAAAGATATACGCCATGCTGGTGGTACCATTCTACATAAAACTGGCCCTGGGCTTTCTGCTGGCCGGCTTTGTGTTTCACCTGATAGGGTTCACGACGCCTTACTGGACAGTCTACGATTCTATCTACGGCAGCGTGAACAACGGACTGTGGACTAGCTGTTGGTATACGAGAAATGGGCACTCATGTCATTCGTATACAGGTACGTCCTGTCGAAGATTGGCAAACATAAATTATTTGTGCATGTCTTATTAATCATAGAATGAGTATTGTTCACAAACATGTAAGCTGTATCAAATATGTTGAATATAAGGTGTTTTCCCCTTCAAACTCACGCTCCGGTATCTGAATTTACTACGAAATAAATCTACTAGGTATCCATGCAATAGCCAATGTAACTGATTTGTGGTAATGTCGCCATGTTTTTTTTCGGCAAACCTACTTAAACAGTAAACATTATTGACACTCTAAAGTAATGATAAGAACAGGATAAAGTAAATAACTGACTCTACGGCACATATTAGTATGATTTAAGTATGAACTAATGGAAATTTCAGTTTTTGGTAAAATGGATTTACGTGTTACACTCGCTAATCCCGATTCAGTGAATTGTCCATCTTATCTGCGAACTCGAGATTTACTTGTTAGGTTTAAAGAGTGAACAGACGGTGTCTTTCGTCTAGCCGCCACAGAGCATAGGTTTATATTAGGGAAATATAAAGTGAGACTAGAGTAGGACTAGGCGTTTCTGTGACAGTCCAAAATTTCCCCAGTTTTTTTTTTTTTTTTTTTTTTTAGACGTTAGGGTATAGATTTAGTCAGATCTGTCCTCCCTATATTAGACCTGTTTGGTGATTACTAAAAAGCGAAATTGCACACCCTAATGCCTCGGCCCTACCAGCCCCCTCCCCCTTAGTGTCCTAGGCTCGGTTATAACCGGAACAAGGACGTTAAGCTCAAAAAAAAAAAAAAAAAAAAAGTGTCTTTCGTCACTTCGTTGTAGATACTGGCTACTCACTAAATAACAATCGGGTGACCCGTCGAATGACATTCATATCAATTGGTATAAAAGGTTCTAGTCAAATTGCATTAAGATTTTCGTCATAGAACTATTGATATTTGAATGAAGTAGTTTCCAATCAGTATATTCCTTTTCCGTAAACTGTGCTGGGAGTCGACATGTTCCATCTTAGCTTTGATATTTGAGAATTCACCACTGAATAAACTCACGGATGTGCCATGATTATAGAGATTCAACTGTAATGATTTTTATCTACTTATTTGGACCGTTATGATACGAAATCATTGTATAATCAGTGCTGTCGAATTATGATTCTATGTCGCGTCCATAACAATCCATAATAATAAGTGTGTATAAACTTTGTCTTATCGTAATGTCCGACAGCATTTAAACCACATAGTTGTGATTAGTGTATAATTAGCGACGTCACATCAAACAATGTCGTGATTGGTGTATAATTTTCGACGTCACAGCAAGCGACGTCGTGATTGGTGAATAATTTTCTACGTCACAGCAAACGACGTCGTGGTTGGTGAATAATTCTCTACGTCACAGCAAACGACGTCGTGATTGGTGAATAATTCTCTACGTCACAGCAAACATGCTGATTGGTTATGATCCTTTTGATGTTTCAGCCAACACTACCATCAACGCTGTCCGGGCTTTTGAGGTGCTGGCCTTCCTCATGTTTATTGCCATCGTTGTGTTATTGATTATCTATCTGAGTACTCTTAGAACCAATCTCCAGCTCGCTAGTATCATCTGTACATTTATACTGGGTAAGTTTTTTTGTTGTTGTAAAAGTGAAATGTTATCGTCATTACCTACAATATTCATCTAGTTATAATGCAGAAACGATTAATAATTTATGACTACACAAATGGCGTTAAATGTCAATGTAACAATAGATTAGAGAATTAATCAGACTGATGTACATATCCGAATTACATTATCTGCGCGTTACGTATACGTTAGCAAGTATAATGTTTGTAACAGTACCAGTTCAGAGACGGTTTCACGGCCGCGAACATTTTAAGTTTGTCTTTTTAATGATACCGACTTTTCCATTTATTTCACAGTGGCTTTCATCATCCTGGGTGCTATAATCTATGGCTCGGAGAGTAGTAATCTCCACTGGTCATTTGCTCTCTGTATCATTGGTGCCATACTTGCCTTCGTAGCTGGTATCCTGCTCATCATCTACCGCATGCGTGGTGTAACCATGGTGACGGGTGGTGCTTCCACTACGCGTACAACTAGAACCGTCACCACCACTGTGACAGTTCGGTGAAGTGATGGTAAAGTCACCGTTTATTTCCAAAGGAACGGGGACAAATGGAGATGATTCTGTACCAAGTGATTTTGATACTGTGCACGTTGTTGAAAAAATAATAGTACAAGAAAAAGTTATCAAAATCGATCCATGTTTTTTTCCACATTGCTTTGTGAATTAGAAGAGTAGTTTATGTAAATAAGTAAATGTCAGTTATAATATGATGTTTCTGGACACGGACGAACTGTAGGTACATTGTTAAACGTACACTATGTTCCATGAATTTGAACAAAAAAGTGCAAACAATTGCTAGAAAAATCGAGAAATTTTAATAAAATATCTCAAATCCTTTACCGTATATTATTTAATTGTCGTCTTAGTTTGTTGTTCATCCATGATATTAATCCAGTCTTAAGTCTGCATTCATACTTCAGTAATTTTCGTATGCAAATCACGTGGATGTGCTATACATATACATATGAATCACGTGGTTTTGCTATACATGTACATATAAATCACGTGGTTTTGCTATACATGTATATGTAAGTCACTAGGTATTGCTATACATTTACATATAAACACGTGGTTTTTTTTAAACATATCAGCAAATCTGATAAACCAACATGATAATGAACTAGACTATAACCTTACATGTAGGAACACAACTGAATGTCACCAATTTGATCAGGATACATGTAAGAACACAACTGAATGTCACCAATTTGATCAGGATACATGTAGGAACACAACTGAATGTCACCAATTTGATCAGGATACATGTAGGAACACAACTGAATGTCACCAATTTGATCAGGATACATGTAGGAACATAACTGAATGTCACTTATTTCAAGAACTGGATGTTACCAATTTGATCAGGATACATGTAGGAACAACTGAATGTCACCAGTTTGATCAGGATACATGTAGGAACAATTGAATGTCACTTATTTGATCAGGATACATGTAGGAACATAACTGAATGTCACCAATTTGATCAGGATACATGTAGGAACAACTGAATGACACCAATTTGATCAGGATACATGTAGGAACAAAACTGAATGTCAGTATTTGATCAGGATACATGTAGGATCAACTGAATGTCACCAATTTGATCAGGATACATGTAGGAACATAACTGAATGTCACCTATTTGATCAGGATACATGTAGGAACAACTGAATGTCACCAATTTGATCAGGATACATGTAGGAACATAACTGAATGTCACCTATTTGATCAGGATACATGTAGGAACAACTGAATGTCACCAATTTGATCAGGATACATGTAGGAACACAACTGAATGTCACCAATTTGATCAGGATACATGTAGGAACACAACTGAATGTCACCAATTTGATCAGGATACATGTAGGAACACAACTGAATGTCACCAATTTGATTAGGATCAGAATAATTGCAAGAACTGGATGTTACCAATTTGATAGGAACACAACTGAATGTCACCAATTTGATCAGGATACATGTAGGAACACAACTGAATGTCACCAATTTGATCAGGATACATGTAGGAACACAACTGAATGTCACCAATTTGATCAGGATACATGTAGGAACACAACTGAATGTCACCAATTTGATCAGGATACATGTAGGAACACAACTGAATGTCACCAATTTGATCAGGATACATGTAGGAACACAACTGAATGTCACCAATTTGATCAGGATACATGTAGGAACACAACTGAATGTCACCAATTTGATCAGGATACATGTAGGAACATAACTGAATGTCACCTATTTGATCAGGATACATGTAGGAACAACTGAATGTCACCAATTTGATCAGGATACATGTAGGAACATAACTGAATGTCACCTATTTGATCAGGATACATGTAGGAACAACTGAATGTCACCAATTTGATCAGGATACATGTAGGAACATAACTGAATGTCACCAATTTGATCAGGATACATGTAGGAACAACTGAATGACACCAATTTGATCAGGATACATGTAGGAACAAAACTGAATGTCAGTATTTGATCAGGATACATGTAGGAACAACAGAATGTCACCAATTTGATCAGGATACATGTAGGAACACAACTGAATGTCACCAATTTGATCAGGATACATGTAGGAACACAACTGAATGTCACCAATTTGAACAGGATACATGTAGGAACACAACTGAATGTCACCAATTTGATCAGGATACATGTAGGAACAACTGAAACAATTTGATGAATGTCACCAATTTGATCAGGATACATGTAGGAACATAACTGAATGTCACTAATTTGATCAGAATACATGTAGGGACACAACTGAATGTCACCAATTTGATCAGGATACATGTAGGAACAACTGAATGTCACCAATTTGATCAGGATACATGTAGGAACACAACTGAATGTCACCAATTTGATCAGGATACATGTAGGAACACAACTGAATGTCACCAATTTGATCAGGATACATGTAGGAACACAACTGAATGTCACTTATTTGATTAGGATACATGTAGGAACACAACTGAATGATTTGATGTGCAAGAACTGGATGTTACCAATTTGATCAGGATGTACATGTAGGAACACAACTGAATGTCACCAATTTGATCAGGATACATGTAGGAACACAACTGAATGTCACTTATTTGATCAGGATACATGTAGGAACATAACTGAATGTCACCAATTTGATCAGGATACATGTAGGAACACAACTGAATGACACCAATTTGATCAGGATACATGTAGGAACAAAACTGAATGTCAGTATTTGATCAGGATACATGTAGGAACAACTGAATGTCACCAATTTGATCAGGATACATGTAGGAACATAACTGAATGTCACCAATTTGATCAGGATCAGGATACACAACTGAATGTCACCAATTTGATCAGGATACATGTAGGAACACAACTGAATGTCACCAATTTGATCAGGATACATGTAGGAACACAACTGAATGTCACCAATTTTGATCAGGATACATGTAGGAACAATGATGAATGTCACTTATTTGATCAGGATACATGTAGGAACATAACTGAATGTCTCGTAATTGATCAGGAGACATGTAGGGACACAACTGAATGTCACCAATTTGAACAGGATACATGTAGGAACAACTGAATGTCACCAATTTGATCAGGATACATGTAAGAACTGAATGTCACCAATTTGATCAGGATACATGTAGGAACACAACTGAATGTCACCAATTTGATCACCAATTTGATCAGGATACATGTAGGAACACAACTGAATGTCACCAATTTGATCAGGATACATGTAGGAACACAACTGAATGTCACCAATTTGATCAGGATACATGTAGGAACACAACTGAATGTCACCAATTTGATCAGGATACATGTAGGAACACAACTGAATGTCACCAATTTGATCAGGATACATGTAGGAACACAACTGAATGTCACCAATTTGATCAGGATGCATGTAAGAACTGAATGTCACCAATTTGATCAGGATACATGTAGGAACATAACTGAATGTCATTTGATCAGGATACATGTAGGAACAACTTATTTGATCAGGATACATGTAGGAACATAACTGAATGTCACCAATTTGATCAGGATACATGTAGGAACACAACTGAATGTCACCAATTTGATCAGGATACATGTAGGAACACAACTGAATGTCACCAATTTGATCAGGATACATGTAGGAACACAACTGAATGTCACCAATTTGATCAGGATACATGTAGGAACACAACTGAATGTCACCAATTTGATCAGGATACATGTAGGAACACAACTGAATGTCACCAATTTGATCAGGATACATGTAGGAACAAAACTGAATGTCAGTATTTGATCAGGATACATGTAGGAACAACTGAATGTCACCAATTTGATCAGGATACATGTAGGAACACAACTGAATGTCACCTATTTGATCAGGATACATGTAGGAACAACTGAATGTCACCAATTTGATCAGGATACATGTAGGAACACAACTGAATGTCACCAATTTGATCAGGATACATGTAGGAACAAAACTGAATGTCAGTATTTGATCAGGATACATGTAGGAACACAACTGAATGTCACTTATTTGATTAGGATACATGTGGGAACACAACTGAATGTCACCAATTTGATCAGAATACATGTAGGAACAACTGAATGTCACCAATTTGATCAGGATACATGTAGGAACACAACTGAATGTCACATGTAGGAACACAACTGAATGTCACAATTTGATCAGGATACATGTAGGAACACAACTGAGTGTCACTTATTTGATTAGGATACATGTAGGAACACAACTGAATGTCACCAATTTGATCAGGATACATGTAGGAACAAAACTGAATGTCAGTATTTGATCAGGATACATGTAGGATCAACTGAATGTCACCAATTTGATCAGGATACATGTAGGAACATAACTGAATGTCACCTATTTGATCAGGATACATGTAGGAACAACTGAATGTCACCAATTTGATCAGGATACATGTAGGAACACAACTGAATGTCACCAATTTGATCAGGATACATGTAGGAACACAACTGAATGTCACCAATTTGATCAGGATACATGTAGGAACACAACTGAATGTCACTTATTTGATTAGGATACATGTAGGAACACAACTGAATGTCACCAATTTGATCAGAATACATGCAAGAACTGGATGTTACCAATTTGATCAGGATACATGTAGGAACACAACTGAATGTCACCAATTTGATCAGGATACATGTAGGAACGTAACTGAATGTCACCAATTTGATCAGAATACATGCAAGAACTGGATGTTACCAATTTGATCAGGATACATGTAGGAACAACTGAATGTCACCAGTTTGATCAGGATACATGTAGGAACAATTGAATGTCACTTATTTGATCAGGATACATGTAGGAACATAACTGAATGTCACCAATTTGATCAGGATACATGTAGGAACACAACTGAATGACACCAATTTGATCAGGATACATGTAGGAACAAAACTGAATGTCAGTATTTGATCAGGATACATGTAGGATCAACTGAATGTCACCAATTTGATCAGGATACATGTAGGAACGTAACTGAATGTCACCAATTTGATCAGAATACATGCAAGAACTGGATGTTACCAATTTGATCAGGATACATGTAGGAACAACTGAATGTCACCAGTTTGATCAGGATACATGTAGGAACAATTGAATGTCACTTATTTGATCAGGATACATGTAGGAACATAACTGAATGTCACCAATTTGATCAGGATACATGTAGGAACAACTGAATGACACCAATTTGATCAGGATACATGTAGGAACAAAACTGAATGTCAGTATTTGATCAGGATACATGTAGGATCAACTGAATGTCACCAATTT